CATGTTCTTATGCATGCAAATGAATGCACCAATAGGTACTGAGAAAGCAAAAAAAAGAAAACACAAAAACATTCAGCAAGGACTCGCAAGACGCATGCAGCCCCAGGCGTAGACAAACAGCAGACAAACATCATAAATAATATCAAAAGAGAGGCTGCATCAACGCACGAACCGCAAAAACACACAAATGCATGCATGCATAGAAGCGCATGCATGCATGCATGCATGCATGCAGAGAAAAGCCCCACCGACGAGTTTGTTGGTGAAATCAATATCTGTTGCATGCGCTTCATAGAATTGCAGCAGACGTCTCCCTTTGCTGTCTCTAGAAAACCCTCGCACTGGCTGCAAGAAGAGCAGCAAAAGAATAAGAGAAAAATAAACAAATAAGATAAAATGCATGCAAAGAAAGAGATATAACACCAAGTGAGAGCAAGGTTATACGCATCCAGCAAACAGAAATATTAAAAAGATAAGAAGAAAGAGACGGAGACAGCAGCATCTACTCTTCAGCACCGCAAAAATAACAAACAAATAATGCAAGCTACACACAGCGCACCGCCAGCAGCTCCAGCAGAACCATAGGCAGCAGCAGCAGCAGCAGCACCGGATGCAAAAGCAGCAACAACAAAAACAGCAGCAGCAGCATTTGCATGATTTGCATTCGCAGCAGCGACTGCAGCAAGAAAAGCAACAGCGGCAGCAACAGCAGCAGCATCAACAGCGGCAGCAACGACACCAGCTGCGGCAACAGCAGCAGCAAGAGAGGTAGCATCAGGAACAAAAGCAGCAACAACAGAATAAACAGCAGCAGCAACAACAGAAACAGCAGCATGAACAACAGCAGCAGCAGCAACAACAACAACAGCAGCAGCAGCAGCACCTCAATGCAGCTGAGAGGCGTGAGGGTGCCGGCGCAGACGCTGGGGAGAAGAGGAGTGAAGGTGAAATAATTGCGAGGAGAAATAACAGTAACATCAAACCTAAAAAAATAAATAAAAAAATAAACAAATAAATAAATAAATAAATAAATAAAAACATGTACAACTTTAATCATTAAAAAACAAACAAACAGAAAGCAGAAGGAAAGCAAATAAAAATATAAACTTTTATAGAAATTTAAAGCATGCAACGCCAAAGAAAAGTAGCAGATACAGATATAAAACAACAGCAGCATCGAGATGCCACTGGAAAAGCAGCAAAACACACACGGAGAGAAACAAAACGAAGACCGGCAAACAGACAGCACATGCGCTGTCTTATCTAAAGGTAGCATATTATCTGCAGCAGTTCAAACGTTCTTTGTATTTCATAAACATTTAGGGGCACCCCAGTCGAGGCTGCGAGTGAAATAACGTCTAGAGCCTTCTTATTGTGCACTGATAAGACACCATGCAGAGGAGTGCATACATGCATTCATGCATGCATGCACTCCTGCATGGAAGAGTAAAGAGAAGGGCAGCGGCTTCTCCTCACTTATCAGGATCAAGGTCTCTAAAAAAATTCACAGCAGCCCAGCCGGTACCCAAGACAACGACGTGTTCTCGACGATGAGCACCACTTGGCTGATACTGCTGTTCTTGCTGGTGTTGCTCTGGGGGGGGCATTGAGGCGGAGTTTACCGCCGCTGCTGCAGCAGGAGAGGCATTATCTAGAGAAGGTGAAGTCGCGAAATGCAGCTGAGGATCTGAAAAAGGTCGCGAAAAGACTCTGGGAACCCCCAAACGCGAGCGGGAGAGCACCGCGTGCAGATGATGTGGCAATCTCAGCATCGTAGAGGCTGAAGGTTGAGGGCTTTGTTGATTTCGCTGCGAATTTTTTGAGACATTTAGTTGTCTTGATCTGAAAAGAAGACGTAGAAGGAGTATTGAATGAGCTCCTCCCTTTGTCTAAGCACGCCGCAAACCACCCAACGACATAGGTGTGTATACACCCGAAACTCGAGTGCAGGAAACGGAAAGCGAAGAAAAATACTGCTCTTCTTAGGAAGAGAACACGCGGATTTTCAGAGCCGCGGAGTTTAATTTGAACGATTCATAAGGAGAAATCACGAGAAGAAAGCATTTCTCTCTGAGTAGCCGTGACTCAGGTGGGCTCTTGTTCATGAAGCGGAGTCGGGAAACCTCACGGAAAAAGACAAGCTGAGGTTTCGCCGCTTTTTTCGTTGGGTTTCTCTAAAGAAGAAGAAACGCATCAAATAGAAGAACGGAAATACGCAGTCTTCAGCTTCTTATCTTCTTGAGTGCATGCAACATTCAAAGATGGCTGGCAGGGAACCCGCTGTACAACAGACAGAATCTACTCCGAAATTGTGAAAGTTGTGAAGAATAATTAAATCCATTTAATTGCTATTATTTTAGTGATTTTAATGCTCCAATTATGTCTTTTATTTACTCATATTTCCGTTCAACAGACGCAGCTTTCTCGCTCCAGCGCTGCCGTGTCGGCGAGTTGAACAATCCTCCTTCGTTGAGTAATTCGAGAGAAGATTAACTGATAGTAGTTAAAATATCTGAAATTAACTTTCTATATTAAAATAGACTAAACAAATTAGTCGAAATATTGCCGTTATGCAGCACCCAGCCCCGTCGCGCTGAGGCTGTGCAGCTTTAAACTGTCCATTCACGAAGAAGACAGCTCTCATGTTAGACACCTTCATTTGGTGTTAGTGAGACTCCCTTCTCTTCTTTTTCAGGTATTTAATGCTGTTCCTTCCCCTTAATGTTGTGCATTTGAAGGTAGGGAGGCAACAAGGTTTTGTTGGTCTCAGTACTTGTGTCTCTCTCTGTCTTCCTTCCGAAAGACATACACGCTTGCACAGATATATATGCGCGTACATATATGCTTGTGTAGATGCATGTGCAGCAAAGAAACATAGCACAGTATAACTCGGCTTCCAGAAAGACACGCGGGAGCGGAGACGCAGAGTAAGGGATATTTTTTAGAAAATTGCACTCCTTACATCGAGCAACACCGCGTGAAGATCCATAGTTGAAAATATAGACCCGAGTTAAGCTGATGTCTTTGTTGCGTTTTAATATGCATTTTTCGTGCAAAGAATAAATCAGGTTCTCGTTTCACCTAAGGCCTCTCGCCACCTGCTTATCAATTTAGACGGCAGAGAAGTGCAGCTTTTAGTTAATTTACTGCGGTGTCTGTACACCTCTTTTTGTTCGCAAATGTTATTGTTGTCTGTATCTCTAGAGCGACTTAACTTCAAAAAAGAAAACCCATCAAAAGGGAGGGAGATCTCCCTTGCAGCTCTCGCATGCAATGCAACAAGAGCAGCAAATTTTAATTGCTTTCTTTGATTGTCCGGGGGTCTGTGGGGTTAGACCGGAGCGACTCAGTGCGCTCTGAATTATATTGAAACTCAAAGGAGACAAACTAATAGGCGAAGAGATGCCGCTCTGTCTCTCTAGTCACACCCCCGACACAGAGAGAGAGAGAGAGAGAGCAGCGAGTAGCGACTCTAACACACTCTCTCATATAATATATTCTATATATATATATTATATATTACATATTATATATATTATGTATGCATGTGTGTGTGTGTGTGTGTGTGTATGTGTGTGTATGTATATATACTACCTCCATACATACATGCCCATGCATGTACAGCCAAGCCCAATAAAAAAACATTATGCATGCATATAAAATACATATACAAATATATATAAATATATATATGTCTATGCACATCAACCTTATTTACATCCCGTTTGACCTGCCTATTTAGGCGTAGGGATACAGAATATATATATATA